GTACTTGAACTCCTTGATGTGTTTGATAGAAAGGAGCATGGCGACTTCCTTCTTCACGAATTCCCTCCTCTCGGCCGAGAGGGGTCTCCTCCGCTGCTGTACTGGCTTGGCCGAAGGGTCCACCGAGAGGCGGTGGGTGATGACCCTTCGGCTGATCCCCGGCATGTCCTCCGGCCCCCATGCAAAAACAATGGAGTAGGCGCGGAGGGCGCTGATGATGCCGGTCTTCAAATCTTCGGGGAGCTTGGCTCCTATCTTCACGACTCTCTCCGGCTTGGCCGGATCGAGCGCGAAGTCTTCTACCTCCTCGGCTGGTTCAGCCCTCGGCCTCCTTTCTTCCGCTTCCACAGTTTCGGTGATGGTGTCAACGCGGAACTCTGTCTTGCTAACCTTCTTTGTAACTTGAAGGTAGCAAGTGTGGGCAAGCTTTTGGTTCCCCCTTGAGTAACCGATTCCCCCCTCGGCTGGGAACTTGAGGCAGAGGTGCCTCATGGAGATGACGGCCTCGAGGTCCTCGAGGGCTGGCCGACCGAGGATGATGTTGTGGGCGCAATCGATGTTGACGACGACGAACTCCACTTCGAGCTTGGCTCTATGGAGGCCGTCACCGAAGATTACCGGGAGGGTTATGATCCCCTCGAAATCAATGGTGTCGCCGGTGAAGCCGGCAAGAGGGGTCTTGATGGGCCGAAGGGACCCCCTCTCCAGATGCAGCTCTCTGAAGGTGCTGAGGTACATTACATTGACGGAGCTGCCCGTGTCAATGTAAGTTCTGTGAATAATGGTGTCGTTGATCTCTGTGCGGATGACGAGGGCATCCCTGTGGGGGGAGGATACTGGGGGGAGATCAGCATTGGTGAAAATAATGGGTTCCTCCCTCAACCGCTTTCTTGGGGGCATATGAGTGACTTCCCCCACATAAAGTGATTGCGCCCACTTCTTTCGTTGACTTGTGGAGTCACCCCCGGTATTTCCCCCCGTAATCATGAGGATGTGGCGTTTCTTTTCTTGGTACCGGGGGTACTCCTCCTCCTCTTCCTCCAGATTTCCAATCTCCCTCTTCTTGCCGAGGGGGATGGTGTTGGGGTTGACCCATGCATTCGCTCTCGTAGTTTGCCCTCGGGGTGGCCCCTGAGGAGGGGGGGCCTGTTGCTGAGGGCCCTGGACAAACTGGGACAGATGGCCAGCTTGTATCAATCTCTCGATGGCCGTATACTCCATCAAATATATTTTAAGACATACAATACACTAATAGGGAATACTAGCTAAAAGACATCACTCAAGTAACTTAATCTTTATAGTATAAGGAAAGTCAACATAGGAGTGTAATTGAACAGCTAAATAAATTTACAATGCATTTAAACTACTATACTACACCTCAATAATCTCCATGCATAACTGACTAAAGTTAATTTAGCAACTATACCAAAGTATACTAAAATATTAAGGTGGACCATAATATATCTAAAAGCTAAAAATGGTGCTCTAGAGGGTTACATCATCATCACCATCACCAATTCGTCATTGCCGTTGCCATCATCATTTTTAGAAATATTTATAAATATTATAATATGATATTTGCAGCTATCTGATAAAAATATGCAACAACCTGCCATTAGTGTAATTTCAACAAACAACCTATTACACAATTGTCTACTAGTAATCTTAAATAGTCTGCAACTAGAATATTTGCGTTAGTACAACAACAAAACTTGGTAAATGTTTGTTTGTAGTATATTCAATCTGCATGTATAAACAATCTTACTAGCTACAATAACCTCTAGTGTATATAACAACAAAAACTATATAGTCTAAAGCCACCTGATAAAAACATGCATGAAGAGGATGAGGGGGAGGAGGAGAAGGAGGAGAAACATATATGTAGCTAGAATATTCAAATATAGCCTAACAAGAGAGACGTTAAACGAGAAATGTCCAAATCAATTCGTAAATTATTCATTTCGATTTTTACTTTGAGTACAAAAGGTATTCAGACGCTCAAATAGTCAAATGATGTCCACATAAGGAAAACACTCAGAACACCCCACAAACAAAAGGTAAGAAGCTAATATACAAAGATATCCTTGTGAATGTTTTTATACATAGATCCGATTCCCAAAGAAGCTATAAGATTTACCTCTTCTACAAAAAATAGAACCATTGATTCATTGTATTATTAAGAGACAATTTAGATTCAAAAGTAATGCTCTGTCGTTCGTATTAAACAAAAATCAATTCAAAAGTAATGTTGCTTGAAAATGCATTCTACAATTGTGTATATCTCAAAAAACAAACTAAATAGTGTGAGAACAATATTTAAACTCATAAATTATAAAAAAAGGTTTTCACACATAATTGTCAAAAAAGTAAACTATGTTTTAATAGGAATAATTATGTGTGTGTTGGACAAATATACCCTTGTTGCTATTTAAATGTTTTAATTCATAATAAAATAATATAAAAAATTGTAAAAAATACTAAAAAATTAATAAAATATTCAAATAATAATAATTAAAAAATATTTTTTAAAAAAAATTAAAATAAAATTTAAAAAGAACGCAAAAAAATACCGCCACCTCTACCGGCCCACCACCACCACCTCCAGTCACTAGAGGAAAAAATGTCAGATCCATTATGAATGCCATATTTATGGAAGATTCAATGAAAATTTTGGCATTCTCAAAAAGTAATATGCCTTTTTTGGCATTTTCAGGAAAAAATGGCAGGTTTTAGAAAAAATGACATTTTTACACCGGTCGGAAAGGTGGTGCAAGGAGGCAGTACAAGCGGTGGGAAAGGCATCTAATTTAAAAATTAAAAAAATATTTTTTTTAAAACTAAAAAACGCTAAAAATATCACATCTGCCTCTGTCGTCCCAACACCACCATCTCCGGTCACCGGGGAAAAATGCCACATGCAATAGGAATGCCACATGCAATGAAAATTTTGGTATTCTCAAAGAGTAATATGTCATTTTTTTGGCATTTTGAGAACAGATGACATTTTTTACACTGGTCAGAGGCGGTGGAGTAATAAGGCAGTACAGGCGGTGGGAAAGGTATCCATATTTGTTTTTATTTTTTTATGGAAATTTACTATTTTTTATTATTATTTTTTTATAAAAAAACAATTTTTTTGATTTTTTATTTTATAAATATTTTATTAATTTTTCTTATTTTTCTACGATTTTTTAATTTTTTTTTGAATTTATTATAAATTAAACATTTAATTATGACTTTTGAGTTTTGACTACCTTTTATTCATATTTAAAGGAGAGGTAAGAATGGAATGAAAAAATAGGCATGTCTTCAATAGGAGTATATGGTCCTATTTCGAAAAAAAACATAACAAATCCTGTTTTGGATTTTTGTCATAGTCTTATTCCTATTTGGAGTAAAATCCGAATAAGATATCATCATCCTAAGCTAATATTGTAAAAAGTTACACAAATATTTTTTTATAATGAAAATACAAAAGTATGAATACACAACACCTTATAATGCTTAGTTTTTAATAATTTAAAAAACATCAATTCTAATCGTGCATATCATGAATTGAAATCACTACTAGGTTGGCCGCCTCTAAGAGCAAACTAAATAGTGCGTTGTAGGTGAGATTTGGATTCCAGTAATCATCCATCAACAAATATTGTCCAGCTTCTCGACCACGATCTATGTACTCACGGCTATTGGAGATTGTTGCAACCAAAGAAGCCATCAAGTTCATGCGCATGCAGTCGGAATAGGCTTCTTCATCTTCATCATCATTAATGAATTTGTAAAATGTAGGAAAAAACTCATGAATTTGTTTGGCCTTGTTGTAGAATACTTGAAAATGGGAGAAGTACAAATGATGTGTGTGACTCCAATGTCAAGTGAGACCATGTATTTATAGTAATATAGTTCTTTGATGCTCACACCAATTGAAGGATACATTTAATTTATTATGTTTGGATACACAAAGTGGAGAATAACATCCAATGTGCTATGAAAATGACAGAAAAGAGAATCCCATGTCATATAATGTGCTATAAAATGACACACATAATGGAAAAGAGAATCCAATGTGATATGAATAGACACAACAAGTTAAAAATGGAATGCAATGTGTTATGGATAGACACACAAGTTGAGAAGAGAATCCAATGCTTCAATATGTTTGAACTCACTTCATCGAAAAACATTAAAAAAAATATTATTGACATTTATTTTTTTATACCGAAATGTGTCTTTTTTATTTTATAATTAATCAAAGAAAAAATTAAAAGGATAACATTACTTATAATTTAATTAATATAAGGAATTTAGTATAATTTAATTAAGTAGAGTGTCTTACCCATTTTTACTCCCCCACATAGCCAATCACTACAAGGAATTAGTAGTCCAAAAAATCCACTCCTACTCCTACACCACTCCAAGTGGTCTTATAGATATGGATTGGTGGGTTGGTGGATGTAGTCTAATGGATAACCATCCACCTCTAAGTCTCTCCTTTGTGGGAGATCTTAGGTTGAATTCCCATGAAGGGGAGATAAGCGAGGTCTTGCTCGCGATGATTCTTTCTACTTCACGGAGTTGCTCAGCGACTGAGAAGAGAGATGATGATAATGAAGGTAGTGAGTTCGTGTGTTGAGATGATGTAAGTCCTGCTGGATTCGTCCTTTAAAGCATGTACTGACGAGACTGAATATGATCAGATCCAGATTTAACTCTCTACGAACTTTGGAGGATAGTAATAGACTTCAAGATTATGGGAGCATAAGTCTTGACAGGTAAATTATCAAGAAAAAAATAGATGTGGATTGGTTCCGTATGTATGTGAAGCTGTAAAGTTTAGGCTTGATCCAACCGCATTTGTACACGAAGCTACTCGATAAAGAAAATGCATAATTTAATTTAGATTTTTTTGCAAACCATTCATTTTTTTATAATTCGGGAGTTTACGCTCTCGTAATCCTGGAGTCTATGAACTACCCTCCAAAGCTCCTAGACAGTTAAATCGGGATCTGATCACAATCAGGCTCGTCAGTATTGGCTCCAAAGGACGAATCCAGCAAGAATTACATCACCTTTTAGACTACTCCTCCTACAACACGAAATCGTTACCTTCATTATCATCTTCTCCCTTCTTAACCGTAGCAACTCCGTGAAGTTAGGAAGAATGATTGAGAGCAAAACCTCTATTTCCTACATTGAATTCAATTAGTTTTGAACTCAAGACAGCAGGAGAAACTTGCGGTGGATAATCCATGATCCATTCTACTACCCCACCAACACAAACCATTCATTTACTTTTGTTCAGAGCGTCAGGCACACTACATTGACTTTAATATCCTCACTTTGTCCTTTATATGCTACGCTCCCTCGTGCCCACTTTCCACTCCCACTTTTCCTCTCCACTAATATGGCAAAGCTTTTGTTTCTTTCCCTCACCGGCCTCCTCGCCGTCGCTTTGGCGGCGGACATGTCGATAATAACCTACGACGCCGAGCATCCTGCCAAAGTTCTGAGCCGGACAGAAGAAGAAGTCAACGCCCTGTACGAGTCTTGGTTGGTCAAACACGGAAAGTCGTACAACGGTCTCGCAGGGGAGAGGGAGACGAGGTTCGAGATCTTTAAGGATAACCTTAAATACATCGACGAGCAGAACAGTCGGAGCGATCGCCCGTACAAGCTCGGGCTGAACCGATTCGCTGATCTGACCAACGAGGAGTACCGGTCAACGTACCTCGGAACCAGGCCGGAAGCTCGCCGGCGAATCGCTAAGAGGAGAAGAGACCAGTATTCTCCGAAAGTCGGCGTCAGCTTGCCGGAGTCCGTTGACTGGAGAGAAAAAGGCGCCGTCGCGGAAGTCAAAGATCAGGGAAGCTGTGGTATGAATTGCCTGATTTACCCTTTATACACTTTCTTAATATTCCAGTAGTAGTAGTTGCATAATTAGTAGGATGTCGTAATATGTGGTCCTTCTCTATACTCCGTATAATAATACTGTATTCCCCAACTAATAATAATTTTCAATTAATTGATTAATTTTAGTAGTTGGTGGGACTAAATCGCTGGACCTAGTAGGCAATTTGGAGTGTAAAATTGAATTGGATATATCCTTTAATCGGACGGCTTTGATGTGCGCCTATATTTGTGGATGTGGACTTAATTAGTTATATCCTTTTATTTGTATGATGATGATTCTGAGAACCAATGCTCGATGTTTCATAATATTGGAATTCATTTTTTTGGGATTCGATTCTATCCTTGGAGATAAAGTTTAAATAAACCTTTCAACTCTTTTTTGAATAAAAAACACCCATAATTATAAATTTGAACAGATATATCCTTGGAATTATATATTAGAAAACATATAAGCCCTCAACTATTAAATTTGATCATGCTAGATGTTTACCATTAATATGTAATTTTTTAGTCTTGTTTATTTAAATTTGATCTAATTATTCAACTCTTATCAAATTTATTTAACTGGTTGTAGATACCAGATTTTGTCAACGGATTTGATTGGCAGATTGAATTGGCGGGTTACAAAAAAATGTTTGGTAATTTAGTGATTTGACTGTAGCTATTCATAGATAATGTCCTATTTCATAATGCTAAATTCAAAATGCTATTGTTTGTAATATTTGTAAAGTATTTAGTCAAATGAATAATGCATGTCATAGCATTGCGACTAATATAAACACATGACATATGATATTAGAATGTTTTTATTTAGACTTGTTTCATTCTTAGATAAGTCGAACTTGTATAATAGTAGTAGTAAAATAGAAAACATCCTTACAGTACGCACTTCATATTTTAAGCTCAAATAATCCGTTATAATGAGCTAACCTATATTTACAATTCGGTTGTACCAGTGTGCCACATTTGATAAAGGATATATGTATGTAAATTGACAAAGGGACTACAGGAGAATTTATACAATGCTTTTTAGGATCAATGATGTGATAATTTTCTTATCTTAGCTGAATTAGGATGATATAATTTGTTTGTGTATTACTTTGCAATTAAAATTGGTATAAACAGCAAAACTGATATAAAAAGGGAATAGGGAGTTGCTGGGCATTCTCAACCATTGCTGCAGTGGAAGGGATAAACCAGATTGCAACTGGTGAGTTGATCTCACTATCTGAACAGGAGCTCGTGGATTGCGATACTTCATACAATGAAGGGTGCAACGGTGGTCTAATGGACTACGCCTTTGAGTTCATTATTAAGAACGGTGGCATTGACACAGAGGCCGATTACCCCTACACTGGTTATGACGGAAGATGTGATCAAGCAAGGGTCAGTAATCACACCTTGCACTGGCAGTCAATTATTATCTATTGTAAATAATAAACGTCCTCCTAAAAAGTTGTTATTTCGTTTCGAGCAGAAAAACGCAAAGGTGGTTACTATTGATGGGTATGTGGATGTTCCTGCTAACAGTGAGAAGGCACTACAGGAGGCGGTGGCGGGCCAGCCAGTTAGTATTGCCATTGAAGCCGGTGGCCGCGACTTCCAACTCTATGCATCGGTAATGTTGCACTCTTTAATAGTACCAAAAACTGATATCTCTTATAATAGGCCACAAGAGACTTTCTACTTTTGAATTAATGGAGTTAGCTTAGAATGTATCTCAATCATACCATCATCAAGACACTTATGCTACGGCTAAGATTATTTTACACAAGTGAGGCTGCTTGTTGAGCACATATACAAGCATAAATGTTGATTCATTTTCACTAATACTCGGCTTTTCTAAGTGATATGTTTGTACTTCTGTTTGTAACGCCAGTTGATTCTAAATTCAATTTGTAGGGTATATTCACTGGATCATGTGGAGTGAATCTTGATCACGGTGTGGCAGCAGTTGGATACGGGCAGGAAAATGGCGTCGAGTACTGGATAGTAAAGAACTCGTGGGGCGCATACTGGGGAGAAGAGGGGTACTTGAGAATGCAACGGAATGTGAAGGACCCTCAAGGTTTGTGTGGTATCGCGATAGAGCCTTCCTACCCTACAAAGAATGGCACAAATCCGCCAAAGCCTGGTCCCACCCCTCCATCCCCTCCATCCCCCGTTGCACCGTCTAACATATGTGATGAATACGATGAGTGCCCATCTGGCACAACTTGCTGCTGTGTCTTCCCGTTTGCGAACTACTGCTTTGCGTGGGGTTGCTGCCCTCTAGAAAGTGCTGTTTGCTGCGATGACCACTACAGTTGTTGCCCTCATGACTACCCCGTTTGCAATGTTAGACAAGGCACCTGCTCTATTGTAAGTGTACCTTGCACCCAATGAGAAGTTTATTATCTTCTTGTTAGAGTCACACATGGGAGATTATGCAGGGTAGCCCTTCACCTCTTAAGGCGCCTTTTACTGTGAGTGTGTTGGGGCTGCCCATAGATGTTTTTTCCCGCAAACATCACTCCCCGGGCGTGATATAAGCATGCTAACCGATCCCTTAAGCATGTTTTGAAATCTTATATTAATTATGGATAAAAAGTAGGTATGGATGTGATTTTGTTCTAGACCGGCCGATTCTAGGTCACATACATGGAGGAACTGAAGGTGTATATACCTTCGCGGATTTGCTTCCCGATTGGTTTCATACCAAATAGTTTCGCGTCACATAAATGAATTAATTGTACCGTTAATCGGGTATACCTTTTTAAACAATCTCATATCGGTCAAGTATAAAAACACAAACGGTATCCTCCTTCTAGGTTTATGTTTTAGGATGAAACCAAGTCTTAATAAATCAAACCTATCGAGTCGTTTAGAATAAAAACACGGTTCAAGCCGCTAGGAGGGATTGGTACTTGTTTAGACTGTTGTTCAGGACCTGGGCAAAAAATCAGCCGGTTCTCTTGTGGTTTGGCCCCCAAATTGGGGATTGGTCTGTGCATAAGGGCAACCATCCCGGATATACACTGACTACTGAGGATCGTATATGGGCGCGAGTTAGCCAGATACTAATCTTTCATTGTCATTTGCTTATTTTTTTAAAATGCAATATTATGTTGATATAGCGCAAGGATAACCCGTTTGGAGTGAAGGCGATGAGACGCACCCCCGCCAAGCGGATTAGGAGCAAGGGAATGCAAACAATCATTTCTTGAAAACACTCGAGTTTCAACAGTGTGGAATGAAGGAAGGCGGGTTTGGAGTATTCCCTTGTTGGGTGTACTGAGAGTGCCACATATCATTCCACAAATTTTATGAGCCCCTCTGCATGACTAAAGGGGCTCCATTGTTGCTGACCATCATTGTATATATACTGTTGTTATTTGTTGTTGAATTTCAAAAGGAAAAAACTTGTAAAAGGCATATTATTGTTTAGCAATTGTCTGATTATGTTTATGATGGCACTACTGCTTGCTTTGTTCGTTATTATTCCTGGAATCCGGATGCTTACTTGTATACTTGTGCTTTCTCTGTACTAATAATAATTTCATGTACTTAGCAAATATCTTTAGCTTTACAATTTAGTTCTCCAAAAGATCGAATTCCCATCTCTAAGAGATTTTCATGCCTTATCCGACAAAGCATATGAGAGGATAGTGGTGGACTCGGTTCGGGTCGGGCCCGGTTCGGACCTAGAACCGGCCGGGTCTCGGTTCACGGAAGGCAGGCCCGGAATCGGACCGGATAACCCCGGGTCCGGTTCGGTTCGGGTCACCCGCCCGGTTCATGGGCCGCCTGCCGGGCCGGGCCTTTTAATTTTTTTATTATTATATATTATATTATTAGAATAATTCTTATTACAATTACAATATATTATATTCAAATTCAAGTATATTTATTTCAAATAAGAAGTACAATTGAGAATTAGGATGAATTTAAAAAATGTAATACATTTTGTAATAAAAAATCAACCGGAATCTCCGCCTTCGGTTGTTTCCTCCATAAAGTGGCGGGTGAGAGTGATGGTAATTTCTCGAGTTCTTCGTTGGGCCTTCAACCAATCGTGAAAACAAACTAGTGTCTCAAGAGAGCTCGGGCTCAACCTCGTTCTATAATCGGTTAGGACGTTGCCGACTGCATTAAATTCTTGTTCCACGGCAACGGTTGATATCTTTATTGCTAGGACTTGCTTAGCCATCTTTGATAAAATCGGGAATGTTCTTTCATTTTCCTTCCACCACTTAAGAACGTCAAAGTCATCACCAACTTCATAATCAACATTCAATGTTAGATACAAAGAAAGCTCATTACCTGAGCTTTGTTCAGTAGTGGGAGTTGCTCTACTTTTTTTCAAAAGAGAACCAAAAGCGGATTTTAAAAGTGATTTTCCTTTAGATGAAGAAGATGTTCGTTGCATGGGAGGGGGTGCATTACCATATTGTGCATGAAATTCATTATACAATTGATGAAATAAATTACTAATCTCGTTGAATTCTTGTTTAGGGTCGATGGGATTATCATCGAACTCTTGAGTTGGAAAAAAAGAAGCATAATAGTAATCTATACAATTTCCCAAGTAAGCAAGTTTATAACGAGGATCAAGAACAAATGCAATACCATATATATGCGGAATATGTGAATAATATTTTAAAAACTTTTGTTTCATGAAATCACAAAAATAACTAACGTAAGTGGCTTCGGAAAATTCACAAAAAGCGCCGGCGAGATTAACAGCTTCAACAAAAAATTCGTTTGCGGTAGGTTTATAAACATGACTAAAAGTTAGAGTTGCGTTATTAAAATATGCCAAAACATTAACAATTTTTTCACAAGTGTCGATGTCAGCCGGGTTTATAATATAGTTACAAGTTTGTCTTAAAAAAGCTGGAAAATGATCTTTATATCTAACAAGTACTTGAATTAAATTATAAGTACTATTCCAACGAATAGACAAATCTTTAGGAAAATCACAATAATTGACACGTCTATCCTTCAAATATTGCCGCCATTGCATTTTTAGTGGAGTGCTAGCCCAAATAAATTTAATTCCCCCCTTCACTACCTCCAAAGCATTTCCTAATGCCGCTAAGCCATCTTGTACACACAAATTTAGAATATGACATGCACAACGTTGATGAAAAAACCTACCCATCAATGTAGAAGCACCACACAATTCACGTAATCTAGGTATAGCAGCAGTATTATTACTAGCATTATCAAAACCTACAACAAACACCTTATCAATCAAATTATACTCAATTAAAATACGTTCAATGAGTGCAGTAAGACCCAAATAATATAAATGATGATAAGTATCCTCCCATATATCGCTACAAATACTAACACGTCCATCAAAGTTTGCGAAAAATATTTGTAATTTTTATTTTTCCAAGTTATATTGCCTTATAACTTCTTTTTTAATCGTTTTGCGACTATAATTTCTAAATTGAGGATTTAAAGTACCTTGAGCATAATCTCTTAAAGCAAGACTTTCGGAAAAAATATAGGGTAAATTTTCTTCAACAATTAAAATGTTGCGTTGGAGATTACTCATATCTACAGAATGTCTACCACGCTCCATCTTTAAAATTGAACAAATATTAGCAATTAACTAATATGAGAAATGTAAAAATGTAGCAATTAACTAATATGAGAAATGTAAAAATTAACTACTTTTTTTTACTTTAATGAGAAATGTAGCAATTAACTAATATGAGAAATGTAAAAATGTAGCAATTAACTAATATGAGAAATGTAAAAATTAACTACTTTTTTTTACTTTAATGACAAATGTAGCAATTAACTAATATGAGAAATGTAAAAATGTAGCAATTAACTAATATGAGAAATGTAAAAGACCGGGCCGGTCACTGAAATCTAGGCCCGGGACCGAACTGCTTGAAGACCGGGCCGGGTGGCCCGAACCGGACACTAACCGCCAAACCGGACCGATCCAGGCCCGCACAGTAGCGGGCCGGTCCGGTTCCGGGCCGGTTGGCCCGGCCCGAGTCCATCCCTATGAGAGGATGTAGTTTGAAATTTTACTACCCCGTATTTTAGTAGTTTAGCGTTCCAGTGGCAGACACGCAAAACGAGATGGATGTTTCCTTAAATAAATGATGTTCTGAATGTAAAAGACGCTAAATTTAAATAATATGGATATTCTACTCTTAGTTAGTTCTCCTGTCATGCATAGAAATACACGATTCCATGAGAACCCTTTACACTACACAACCGTTCTATTGATCATTTGATCTAAAACATTATTTCACGTTTTGTTTTCATTTAAACAATCCAAGTACAATATTTTGATTGATTTATGTGTACAAACACATGATACCTTATGGGCACACAAAATCTATCTATATAAAATTTATTAAAGTAAAAATAAGATAAGAAAGAATATGTGGATTAACTAATCAATTAATAGTAAGTGGGTTTGTGGGATAGATGCCTTATTAGTTGGCAATATTAAACTTTGATTTGTCTACGTAGTACGTACGTTCATATCTACTTTGATGTGACACATATTTAAGAACTACTCCCTCTATATCTATTTACTTGTCTCGTTTTCCCTTTCGGAACGTATAAAAAAATGTCGCATTTCTCTTTTTAGACATAGATCCCACCACCTTTTGACCTCCCATTATTAAATATTTACATTTTCCATTTTTCGTTTCACTTATCCCATTATTCCTCCCCATTAAATCCCCATCTCAACCACATATTTTAATCATCTACACTATTTTTTACTTTATCTACGGTACACTTATATTTCTTTTTAAACTACTCAAAAAGCTAATGAGTCATCTAAATAGATAAGTAGGGAGTAGTCTGAGTACATAGTACTACGTAGTACTGTAGTAGTATGACTTTGTGAGAATGTGAGGCATCCTCAATTCCTCATCCTGTGAATAGTGTTCACATTTTACCTTTTCACATTGAAGAGCAAATGACGTGTCTACTAATTACTACCTCCGTCCTATAAAACTTTGCCAAAGTTGACCGACACGAAGAATAATAAAGTAAAAACTGTGTGTTTGAGGTTTGTGCAGAGGAGAGAGAAATAACAGAAACCACAAAATAATAGATTAAAAGGGAAAGTGACAAAGTTTTTTGGGACGTCCCAAAAAATAAAAAGATAGCAAAGTTTTAAGGGACGTAGGGAGTAATATACGTAGTACTAGTATGACTTTGTGAGAATGTGAGGCATCCTCATCCTGTGTTTAGTGATTGATATTAGGTTGGTAAAGTCAAAGTACGAGTGAATTTAGAATCATATAAAGATTTTTTTTGCCTTAAAAAGTTGTCATATTTTGGTATTTAGCGGTTCGAAAAAAAATTGGCATTCCTCCTGAGTAATACTCCCTCCGTTCTTATTAAAACTTCCAACTTTCCTTTTTCGTTTGTTCCAATTAAAACTTCCACTTTCCCTTTTTAGTAAAGAATTTGTGGTTCGCAATATTTCTTACACATTTCTATCTCATTTGCACAACTCTCCACCACACAATACTCACTATCTTAAATTGTGTGCCAAACCTATTTGGAAGATAAAATAGGAACGGAGGGAGTAATAATATTGTGATCTACTCCGTATATTATTTTCTCAATTGGTTTTTTCAAAAAATATTAGTAAAATAAATCTAATAGTTATTTCTAGTATAATATAGTGTTACGGTTATTTAAGTTTAAAAATTGAAAATAAGTTAATACTATAGTCACTAGTTCCATTTTGGTAATGAATCTTTATTTTTGTCATAAATATGTAATTATTTATGATAGCTTCACGATAAATCGCTAGTGGTATTGTTTAGAGTGAAGGGAGAGCTTAATTTAGAAAGAGAAAGTAATTGCAATAAATGGGATTAGGGATGGACCCAGGCTGGTCCGGTTCCGATTCTGGGCCGGGCCCGGGTGGGCTTTTTTTGCAATTCCTTGGGCCCGGAACCGGTCCGGGTTGCTACCGGGTCCGGTTCAATACTTAATTTTTTTTTTGCTTTCTTGTTATCCCCCGACCCCCCCCCCCCTCACCCCCACCCCCCAAACCTCCCCAAAACACCCAGCCCAACCCTAGGAAAAGAAAAAAAAATTGAAAAAAAATGACCCGGGGCCGGCCCGAACCACCCGGGGCGGTTCGCCCAAAACTGGGCCCGAGCCCGGCCCGTCCACACGGGCTAAAAGCCCGGAACCGGCCAACCGGGCCGGGCCGGTCCAGGCCCGCACAATAGCGGGCCGGTTCGGCCCGGCCCAGTCCATCCCTAAATGGGATTCCAACTCTTACATCTACCTCCCAAGGGGGTATTTATAGTGTTACACATGTCAGCTATTCTATGGGCGAAAGCCCTGAGGTGCTGCAGAGTTTGACGCGTGTCATTCCCCTTGTTCATCTTTGGTCGAATGCTTTCTGCTTGACCGAGGTGTTGATGGCCGAGGTGCAGCGGTATGGCTCGGCCGTGTTTATGGGTGGACTCGGGCGGGGTGGCCCGACCTGGAACCGGCCCGGGACCGATACTGTTCCGGTCCGGCTCGATCCAGTGGCCCGGTCAGTGACTGGTCCTGGTAGGCCTGACCCGTGGGTATTCTGGTCCGGGCTCGGGTCACC